CACTGCTTTTTTAGAAGTTTAATATTATTTTTGGATTTAGTAATCATAAATATTATTTTTTTGTCTCCTGACTTTTTTGTCCATCTTGCTTACTTCTTGCGAAAAAAATTAAATTCTAATTGGTAATTAATATTGTAATTGGTATTCTAATGGTACCTTGTATCTTCAAAAGGAAGCTTTAAATCAAGTTGATATGAACTTTTTGTTTTATTTTTGCAAGTTCTATCGTCTATTAAATTTTCCCGATTAAAATATGAGACACCCTGTGTATGTATACTTCTATTTGATGATACGATATATATATATATATTATTGTACTTTAACACAGTTTTTCAGTCGTTAGACATAAGCAACGAGATATAAAATATCAAAAATATGTTCGAATTAAGGTTAGTGGGTTATCAAGGATTCTGAACTGGAATTAAAAAAATACGAGAGTCAAAATAAAAATAAATTACGCACTAGAATGTGTCAGATAAATTGTTTGTTATTGACCATCTGTTAAAATTAAGCTTGCTGTTGCCGGGTTCTTACTAGGTCTCAATTCAATTTAAACCAAGCATAAACATAGAGCAGAGATCCTGATTTTAAGTATGTATGTTGCGTAAGAAAAGACATACTTATGACGTCGTAACATTCTACGAACTTTCTTCCATATTTTTAATTGTAAAATATGTTACAGAAGTATCCCAGTTACAATTCGGATTACCCTGTTTAATATTTATTGTACCTAATAAACTAAAAAGATAAATGCATATTAAGATAAGTGCACCCAAGGTATCAAATGTGCGAATTCTAGGAACGCCTGCTCTGATATACGAGTATTTATCAACAAGCATATTGTCGTTATGTCTGCCTCTGTATGCGCCGAGTAAATAATTAGCCATATTTTATATTCCTCACCGAGATACGAATAGATGCTGCTGTACCGCCAATTTTTAGCTTGTTCGAAATAATCTCGACTATATTTTTATCTCTAGCACGTTGTAATAAAATTTTTAAAGTCAACGAGTTCGTTGGTTTGGAGTCGAAACGAAATTAGATAACGTCTCAGAGAAATTAGTAAACATAGGTAGGTTTTGTGCGGTTTTCAAGTTTATTGTGGACCACTTTTTGCTAATTTTGAACATTGGGTTTATTATTTAAGGTAAACGTGCATTCTTCAGTGAAACATATGTTTTTTAAAAATTCCCTATCCGTGTTTGCTCTTTCCATCATATCAAAACAAAACGCCTGCCGCCGTATTTCGTCCCCATCTCGTAGCTCTTGGTGCTTTTCATATTTGATTGAATAGTATTTATGTCGTTTCAAAATTCGAAACGCTGTAGTGTGATCTATTCCTATTTCATCCTCAAGTTTCCTTGTGCTGATCTTTCCATCGTTCTCTTCCACGCACAATAAAACTTCCAAGTCGGTATCATTTCTTGCATCTTCTCTTTGTTCCTGCCTTGCTTCACATCTGCAGTTATTTATTATGGTACCTTTGGTCTCAAATCTCTGGATATTCCTTGCGATTGTAGATTTTCCAGGTATCGGTCTATTCGGATACAGAGCAGCAAACATGTCCAACACCTTTTGATAACTATTTCCTTGATAATACCATTAATCATCAATACTTTTTCTTCGGTAGTGTAATTCATGGCTAATATTTTCGATGTAGGTATGAGTTTTTAATAATAATAATAAAGCACTAAATAGATAAATTTCTGAAATGACAACCTCATTTGACAGTTATCTTTTACCTTGACTGGTGTTCATAAGTAAATACAGGGCCATAATAAAATACATGAAAATTTTAAAAACTACTTATTCTCTAGAAATACTTATTTCTCTAACCGTGCGGATTCAGTTCTGTATTTTTTACCTCTAGCACTTTGAATTTCTTTGCTGATGGTTACACAATGGTCGATTTTCGTCACATTTACTAAAATTTATCTTGTCGCGTGAGCTCTCATTAAGTAGTACTATCGCCATTTTCTTTCCTACTACGCTCAATAACATATTTTTATTCTATCTCTAGATAAGTCCGGCCAAGTTCACTAGGAAGTGTCGTGCACGATTTTTGTGTCGATTTAATAAAAATATTTTTTATTTTGCTGCAGATTACACGTAGTATCTCATTAAATCAGGAGCGTTACACGTTTTAAAACTTAAAAATAAGTAAAACTAGCATTTTTTTATTTATCAGTTTTTTGTTCTTATTTTTGTTTTCTTTATATTTTTCGTATTTTTTTATTTTCTTATGTTTTTTACTGTTTTTTAGGGTTCCGTACCCAAAGGGTAAAAACGGGAACCCTATGACTTCGCTGGCCGTCCGTCTATCACAAAGGTCTATCTTATGAACCGTTATAGCTAGACAGTTGAAATTTTTACAGATGATGTATCTATGTTGCCGCTATAAGAACAAATACTAAAAACAGAATTAAATCAATGTTTATAAATAACCGGTATTTTCCTCTAAACATTATCGTGGCCGCGTGGTTAAAGCGTTAGGACTTTACGCTGCTATGACGTTGGAACCGTAGCTAGTAAGGCATGTTCGAATCTTAGCCAAGGCGACTTTTTTTAATCGTTTTTTTTTAATTTTTACATATTTATTTTTACTTTCTACATATTTCTTAATTGTATTTGATTAATACAATTTTACCTAATAACCTTTCTTCATTACCTTCAATTAACCTATAGCCGGTTATTTTAAAATTTCAGCTTGTATAAAAAAAGAGTAACAATATAAAGTATAATGTTGTTTGAATAATAAATTTCGAAGAAGCGAACGTGCGCGAGTCCGACTCGCATTTGACCAGATAACGTATCTTGCTCACAAAACGAAAATATATTTTTAAAACATGACATCAATGGTCAAAAAGGAAGTCAAAATTTTGAACGCAGGCATCTCCGAAACTATTAAATAATCAAAAAAGATGAAGCACCATTTCGACTTACATTTACTAGGCCGGATAACAAATTTACAGGGTGTCATTTACTTAAAATAACAAAATTAAGGTTAGTTTACTTACGACCTAACTTCAAATAGATTCTCTAAATTTATATTTAAGCGATAACCGACTTTATTACGAGATTTATTAAATGGTTAACTACAAAAATTTTCCATGGTTTCGCCCAGTTGTAACAATCTCGGCTATTATTGTGCCTACAACAATTCGCCGTTACTTTTATTATACAGGGTGAGTCTTAAATAGGTGCAAATATTTTCAGGGCTGGTAGATCTCGATAAAAGAGACATATTTTTTTCTTTACCATTTTTCAATTGAAGTTCAAGTAATGAATTATTTAAGTTTGATTATTTAAAAATTCAGTCTTTTTAATTTTGATATTCACCTAAAATAACTTGGTTGTAGGTTGTAGAACTTGTGAGTTGTGTAGTTTATTTGAACGTAAAGTAATTACTATGGTAATATCATATCCATGTCTAACTCAAAAATTAGCGGTGAACATTTTTATTTAAAAAGTTTTGTACATATACATGCTTACATTGCTACAATCTCTATTTAATCATGCGATTTAACTATTTTATTATCTAAATTTGAAGTAGACGTGTTCCTAGGGTCAAGAGGTAAGTACCCTATAGGAAAACTAAATATTTAGACTCACTAGTATAAGTTATTTGAATAACCGGTTAACAGCAGTGTATGGTTAATTTTGTTAAGTTACTATTCGGCGGAAAGATAATTCCGGTTAACCTATAACAAAAATAGGCAACGTTAAAGGCATTCGCATTTATGAACTTCGTTTTTTGACGTATAGAGGGTACAATAATAATTTTTACCAATAACCCCCATTCTAATATCTATTGTTGCGGACACTATGCACTAAGACCTAACCTATGCTATATGGCACAGTTTCGCATGACCTTAACCAGATCGGATTAAAGTCTATACCCGTAATGATTCATTCGAAGATTTTGAGAAGAATTTGAGTTGTGAGAATGGAGTGAGCCACAAAGCCTTGAACATTCGAAACCTTCTCTATATCACCTAACGATCTATGGCCTATTCTAGTAAACTTTAACTCGTAGGTATAAAATCCGGCGTGCTGTGGCCTATAAATTCAGTTGAAATAGACGAGTGCAGTTGACGCGCCATAATTCAAAACCAATTCTTAGATATAAATCGTTTGTAAATAGTTCTAGCTATCGTCTTTTATCGTTATTGTTTTTGTTAATTAGTGTTAAATAAATAGTGTTTAAATAAATTGTGACTTTCTATCCACACGGAACCGACGAAAACGCAACACTATGTTGCCGGTATAAGAATAAATATCAAAATCAGAATTAAAAATGCTTTGTCCAAAACAATTTCTTTTAATGACAACCCTCATTAGCAACATAATTATTATTTTTCTGCATTTTTGAATTGCTCTTAAAATTCTGAATATTTTCCATGTAAGTGCTATACCCAAATCCAAGCTTTTTGAGTTATGTTTTTATAATTAAAAAGTAAAAAAAAATACTAAACATTATCTTTAAGAAGAATACATAAAATCTTACAAGTCATCGGAAAATGCGTCGTTAAAGCGTTAGGACTTTAATTTGCTATGACGTTGAAACATCGCATTAAGGCAAATTCGAATCCAAGTCAATTCGACTTTCTTTAATCGTTTTTTTTTAATTTTTACATATTTTACATATTTATTATTCGCATTCGGCAAATTACGCCCCAAATAATTCGAAATACATCCCCGGTAAATCCTCGGTACATCCCCTACATCCTCTAGTACATCCTCGGTACATCCCCTACATCCTCGGTACATCCCCTACATCCTCTAGTACATCCTCGGTACATCCACTACATCCTCGGTACATCCCCTGGAAATCCTCTCATGTGTACACCATAAATCCCCTAAGTGTTCACCCCTCGGTTATTTGTTCTTATTTTTGTTTTCTTTATATTTTCCGTATTTTTTTCAATTCTTATGTTTTTTATTGTTTTTTTAGTATTTTTAGGTTCTTTGCTCTAATTTTTGTTTTCTTTTTGTTACAGATTACATGAAAGCAATAAAAAGACCAGCACCCTCTGCAGACATCTCAAAAAAGCAACCCTCATCAGAGTGGAACATACCCCACAAAATACCCCGTCTGGACCTTGCAAGTTAAAACTTGATTTTGGAGACATCGCATTCAAGTCAAAAGCAACAAATATATCCGTAAAATATTTCTAAAACTATCCAAATTTTATCTAAAACGATCTTAAGTCTGTAAGTGCCTTATATTACATAACAAGAGATATAAATATGATTGATTGATTATATTTTTTAGTAATTACATATATTTTTATGTACCTAGTAAAATTATGAAATATTTTACTAGCGAATTTGTTGCTTTTGATCATCTATTTTTACCTACTTCCACTTGGATACAAATTATATATGATCTCCTAAAAAAATATTTTATTATTATTTTTTAAAGTAGAGTACAATTTAAGTTTTTTTTTGTTCAAAGAAATCTAATATAAACGAAATAGACCCGAACCATAGAGCGTATCAATAATTATAATTTTAAATGGCGTTCGGGTCTATAAACTTAACCTTAGGTTACTATATCTACTGTACTATAATTTTTTGTTGGTCTTTTGGACTTTTAAGTATATTTATTTTTCATGTGATCTCCTAATGATGATGAAGATGACGAAGAGAAATCTTTGTTGATGTTTATTTTTTTTGTGTCTTTTGCTTAGCGAGTTACCCTCATTAACTACCCCTTTTTCTGTATAACTCATTTTTTTGGAGGCTTTTTGAGAGAAAAAATGGTAAATTTTACCTTTTAAAATATTCTCTATTTGTTGTAAACTTTTGGACTACACTGTATACAGTAATATCATATTTAAGGTCGTGATTTTTGAGACTATTCTAAGAAAAAACTTGAATATAAGTTTTTTTGGAAAATAATGCATATTTTAAGCGAAGTCAGTGGCGTAACATTGTTTATACAGGACATACATTCAAATGAAGATTTTTCTGTTAGAAGAATGTCCAAGAATCACACCTTTAAATATTAACATGTCACGCATGCTAAGGAACACTCTGTATAATAAAAAAAAATTATTTCAATTTTAACATTGCTACTTGTGTTAAAAATTTAAGAAACAAAAATTTATTTTTTCCTTGGTTTTGGTAGCACTATATACAGGGTGTTTTAAAGTCGACTCTCACAATTTGAGGCCTTGGAAACGCTAATATATACTGAGTGGCTCAAATAGGGGACTATGATGAACTTATCTTTGTCATTTCTGCAAAATATCAAAAATTGAAGCACCCGGTATGTTCCTTTTTTTTTCAAAAAGTCTTCTACAAATTCTTGCGATTTTGTGTTAGTTAAATTTTAGTTAATAAATACCTATTTTCAGTTAGTATTATTAGCTAAAATCCTGAACAACGCAGAGTCATCAAAATATCTCATCACAATACAGTACCTTACAGATTTGTACATATATTAAGTTTTAACCAACCCTGTACAATGAACTTTGTATATTTTCAACACACAGTATTCTAGTTTTTTAGTAAATTTTATATATCCTGGTAGAAATTTTATCGATGATCATATGTAGTTTTTTTTCAGCGTTTTGTACATATATAAACCAAAAATATGTATGTATACAGGGTTCAGTCAAAAAGTTTTTTTTCTTTTTTGAAATTGATTAGTATAGAATGATGTGCAATGACGGTATGAGTGTATGTGTATATATAATATATAGGGAAAAACCAAAATACCTAACCAAGAGTTTTTAAAAAAAGATATTTTGATGATGGTCGTGTAAATTAGTTTTATGTTCGTTTTTTTTTCTAAAGATAATATAAAGATACATAAAATGGTGGAAGATTCGAAGTTAATATTATATAAATATTATTATTTTTAAAAAACTTCAAATTAATATTAATAATAATTATAGATATCATCTACCTTTTTACCTGACATTGTTCTTTTTATTTTAAAAACTTTATTTTGTAGCCCAAAGAAATTAAGTACAAATTATAAATTTTTTGCAGAATCCTTTTTATATACGGGGTGGTACGCAAATGATGGAGCTTTCTATAGGTGGGTTCAAATAATCAGTGAGATAAAATAAAAAATAAGCAATATTTTATTATTTTTAAATTTTTATAGATTAAAAAAAACATGTTTCAGTAATTTTTAGGATACTAAACTCATTGTAAGTGGTTATAGAAGTTTTTTTTTGTATTTTTATTACAAATTTAATGTTATTATTTTTTTTTTGATGTTTGAACCCACTTTGTTGGATTTTTAAGCTATCCAAGGTTAGGAGAGCCCATTTTTTTGACCGCCCTGTATTTTTGGCAGCTTTTTGCGCCATTTTGTCTGAATTTTGGATCGGTGAATTGAATTTTTGAATATTCGTGGGGCTAATATAGTATCGTAGGGATTAAAGCCATTGCTAATGGAAACAGGAGACATTTTTTGTATTTTTTTTTCATTTTTATATAAAAAACCTTAATTAACTAATTTTTTACTGATAATGCAGTATATTAAGTATACTCTCCTGTTTTCTATTAGTTTTCTATTAATTATAAATTCGTAAATAGAGGAAAAAATATGGAAGTTTGGTACGTAGGCAGACATATTGAGCGTAACATTGTTGCAGATCTCACTATTCTGCACAATACCGTATGATCCGAGAGAGAAAAAAACGATGTCATAGTAACCTTTGAAATTTTTATAAGGCTACTATGACACCGTTTTTTTTCCTCTCGATCGTATGGTTAATTTTTTCAGATCGATGCTCGTGGCGATTTTGAGACCGTTTTGTAATAATATAAAAATACAATAAAAACAAATATATATATTTAACGTAACATCTGTGATGGTTTACGATTAATGATCTCAAAATAAGAAAGAAATAATATATATTTTGTGGGATAGGTTTTTGTTGGTTTCGATTCTTTTTGAAACACCCTGTATACTTTAAACGTTATTAACAATTATTTATTGTTACAAAAATAAAATTACACAGTTTGACCATTATAAATTTTGAAAGAATATTTTGGTTAAATTGTATAGTAATATTCTTTATAATTAATTTTTGTATACAGGGTGTGACGGAAAAGATGTGGTTACAAGTTATTGTGAGGGTGGTTTGTGCCAATAAAAAGTTATTCCGTTTTTTTTAAATAAAACAGAAAATAAATAAGAATTAATATTTAGATTTAATTAAAATTAAATGTAAATTTGTTGTAAAAATAATATTATATAGTATATGTGAAGCTAATTAATACAGCCTCATTTTGTTATTGTAAATGAATCGTTGTTTTATTTTGCCTTTTGAATATCCCTAATTCCATTCCTTATATTCACTACAATTTTTTGGGAAAAAATAAGATAAAAGTAAAGTTACGTCTAAACAGTGAAGAGTAGTTCTGATCTCAGACAAATAATACAATATGATTGAAAAAAAATGGCGTCAGCGATGGCTATGAAATGAGGATCGCTGTAATTTTTTATGTAAAGTGATAAGGGATCGTCATTTCAGAGCCAACTGGAGGCCGTTTTTTTATCATACTGTATAAATAGACATACCTTACTGAACAACATTAAGGTATCCAAGATATGCAAACCAGATGTAAACATGAAAATGCTACGTTGTCACTTATTATGTTTCTCATTAAATTGAAGATTTTTCCCACTGTTAATTAAACCCAGATTCTATCTAATGATATACCGGGTGCGTCTCAAAAGTAACTCACCCCTATAACTTTTTTATTTTTTCAGTTAAAAAACTAGATTTGGTATGTTAGTATATGACGTAAATTAGGATTGATTGACTTATTCAATTGTTTTCGGTCACTTCCTGTTTCACCGGAAATGACTACTTTCGATTTCGATTTTTAAATGACACCCTCGATATTTTTTTACTTTATTCGATAGTAAATAACACTCCGAATTGAATGACATATCATATGTCAACTTCTGACATTTTTGCATATGGTTTATTTGAAGTTATAACTTGCGGTTCGTAACAAAAATTTGACTCGAAATAATAAGTGTGTGGTGTCAAATTATTCGTAAAAAAATGCTTATTCTAAATATGCTAATGACCCATCCCCGTTCCATTTGAAAAAATTGAGATATGATTAAAAATACGATTTGAGCATTTTCTAACTGGCCAGAACAAGACACTAAAAACAGACGATCAAATCAATTTTTCCAAGGTTCTTGATGAAGATTTAGTGATATCAACATAGCCATGGCCCTCTAGATTAAATTTTTAAATAAAATACGATCTTTTATTAAGCGAGAATGTCAAAAGTTGATATATGTTATGTCATTCTATTCAGAATGTCATTTTCTATCGAATAAAGTAAAAAAATACCGAGGGTGCCATTTAAAAATCAAAAGTTGTAGTAATTTCCGGTGAAACAGGAAGTAACCAGAAACGATTGAATATGTCAATCAATCCTAATTTATGTCATATACTAACATTCTAAATCTCGTTTTTTTATCTTAAAAAATAAAAAAGTTATAGGGGGTAAGCCACTTTTGAGACGCACCCGGTATAATGTTTATTTCTTTCTGCATCCATAATTCATAACAACATAATTCTGAATTGAAAACAACACTGTCTTTCGTTTCTCAAGTACACCTGAACTCTCCGTATCATAGCCGGGTAGTTTTTTTATTTTAATGAAGCTATAATTAAATTAAAAATATATCGTATTTAAACTTTTTTATATTTTATTAAGATTTAGGACAGGTTTTTTAAATAAAATTTAGAAAAAACGTCTTAGAGTCCAAAAAGGATAAAAATAATAAAATACACGTTATAGAAGAAATTTTATAATCGAAATTACGTAATTTTTGAAATTAATAATAAATTATTAATTTTAGTCAAACATTTACAACCCCTATTATTAATCAAAACAGGATCTATTCCACAGATATAATAGAATCGGCGAAAGGGAGAGAAAAATAAATATGATTGTTGTAATTTTTTTTCTGGTTAAGTGATGTCTTATGTAAATTAGAGAAAACATAAATCTGTTCCATTAAAGGAAGGAAGGTGATAGGAAGTGGATAAAATGAAAACTACATTTATTTAACTCGGTACTGTCTTTACTATACCGGGTGCGTCCCAAAAGTGGCTCATCCCCATAATTTTTTTAAATTTTCAAATAAAAAAACAAGATTTAGTATGTTAGTACATGACATAAATTAGGATTGATTGACGCATTTAATTGTTTTTGGTCACTTCCTGTTTCACCGGAAATGACTATAACTTTTAATTTTTAAACGGCACCCTTGGTATATTTCTACTTTATTCGATAGAAAATAGCACTCTGAATAGAATGACACATCATATGTCAACTTTTGACATTCTCGCATATGGTTTAATTGTAATTGTAACACGCGGTTCATAACGACAATTTAACTCGAAATACCAAGTGTGTGGTATCAATATATTCATAAAAAAATGCTTTTTCCAAATATGCTAATGAGTCACCTTTGTTCCATTTGAAAAAATTGACATATGTATGATTAAAAAATACGATTTGTACATCTTTTAACCGGCCTAGACAAGACACGAAACCCATTAGACGATCAAAACTATTTTTCCAAGGCTCCTTGATTAAACCTTAGTGTTTTTAACAACACCATGGCACCCTGGATTGAAATTTAAAATACGATTTGTTTTTAAGCGACAATGTCAAAAGTTGACATATGATATGCCATTCTATTCAGAGTATCATTTTTTATCGAATAAAGTAGCAATATACCGAAGGTGCCTTTAAAAATCAAAAGATGTAATCATTTCCGTGAAACAGGAAGATACCAAAAACAATTGAATACGTCAATAAATCCTAATTTATGTCATATACCTACTAACATACAAATCTGTTTTTTTTATCTGAAAAAATAAAAAAGTTATAGGGGCGAGCCACTTTTGAGACGACCCGGTATATTAAAAAATATTGCTTCATAATGTAATATCATTTTAAAATTCTTGTATGTTATTTTAGATTCTCAAGATAATTTTAGAATAAACCGGAATATATTTTTAATAAAAGCATTATTAATTATTAACAGGGTTATAATTATGATTTTGTTACAATGTAAGTAAGTAAATAATGTAATGTAAGAGAAAAAATTCAGATTTTACATTTTACTAAAATATTATCTAAATAAGCGCCTTTCTACAACAACGCCACTTACTCCTAATGGGTATATTGAGAGTTGCCTACCGGTCGAAAGTTGTTTCAAGACTTAAATGGATTATTTAAGTCAAATTTCTTGCAAATTTGGCACTGACGAACCATATTTTATAGTTCTTGAACAGAAAAAGTCAATAAAATAAACAATTAAAGACTACAAGCTAAGAAAATGCGTTAATACAGCCGGGGATATAGCGGCAACAAAGCTTTACCGCACACGTGCGACGCGTACTACAAGGTAATAAATGAATGAATAGGCTCCCTCGCTTCTAATCGGTGTTGTCATATTGTAAAGAACTTATCCTTTTTAAACAGTATCCGACTTATAATTTAGTAGTATAGGACTATTTAATACATCTCTGGAATATTAAAACCTACTTTATTAAACTGTAGTATTAATATCTGAATATATGTGTATAACAAGAAAAAAAATGTTGATAATATTAAAGACGTGACAACATAGGCTGGATGAGGAAGGCTCGGTCGACTGTACCCAGAAGTAAACATGTGTACAAAAAATATTGTCTGTCCGCGTTGAGATGTAAATAGTGTAGTCTATATTTTATTTTAAGTCTATGGGAAGTAACCAGAAACGATTGAATATGTCAATCAATCCTAATTTATGTCATATACTAACATTCTAAATCTCGTTTTCTTATCTGAAAAAATAAAAAAGTTATAGGGGGTAAGCCACTTTTGAGACGCACCCGAGATAATGTGAATTTCTTTTTGCATCCATAATTCATAATAACAAAACTCTCAATTGAAAAATCATACTTATACGTCAGTTTTCTGATTTCAAAATTTAATTTGACACCACTGTTTTTTATTTACAACTTAAAAAGTGCCTGATTTCTGTTTAATTTCAATTTACAACAATAATGAAAATATAACCTGTCACTAAATATATTTATTTATTTAATACTCTTTCTGTAATTATACAGTTCCTGAATCTATGCCAATGACATCGTCAAAACTTGATCAAGCTTGTTACATAATCAAAAAAAAATAAATTGAAATATGCTATGAGGGGATAAAATATAATTTGCAATATTAATGGTATACTGTTTATTTAATCAACTAGTGCTTAAATTTTTTTGTGAATATCTTCTAAAATTATAATTATGTATCTTTAAAAAATTTCGTTATAGCCGAAATAGCCTAAGTTATGTCACCGCTAGTAAAACCAGTGCGTAAATCTAGCTACCGTAGTTGAATCTAAAAAGTTTTATTAGCTTTAATAAATATACCAGTTGTTTGCGATATTCTCCGATGGTGGCAGCACCGGCGGAGATTGCACCAAGCCTATACGGTTGTTCCTCTATTTTTTACCGCTAGTCTGCTGCGATAAAGCGGGACGCCGCACAGTGGTTTCGGCAATGAAAAAAAACAAAAAGGAGGTGTTAAATCGAGTTTAAATTATCCTATCTTACATTGAGTTAGTTCAAAGACAATATAATAATATTACTTTTTCATTTAATTACTAGTTTTGAATTTACAACACCTCCTTTTTGACAATTTTCTTAATATACGAAATGCGCAAAAATAAAGCGAAAACAAGTAATATTTTACAGCCCTTCTTTTAATTCCTAAAAATCGGCATTACCCAGGAACTGTTTCGTTTATCTATGGGTATTAAAAGTAAAAATCATTTTGCCAAAATATACCCCGCCTTTGATGCAGTTTAGTTTGAATCTATTTCTAATAAAATTACTTTACTTCTTACTTTAATCAGACTAGAACAAAAAAGCTTTACGGAGCTTTGGTCTCGGATTAATTTGACTAAAAAAAGAAACTGTTAAAGTAGTGATTCTATAAATTTTATCGCCACATTCGGCCACGTTTGTTAAACATTTAAAATAAAAGATAAACAGTGTGGAAAAAAATGAAAACTACATTCTTCATTTTTGGGGATGCCGACGAATTCATTTAATATAATTTACTTTTTTGCCACTTAAAATTATATAAATATCATTATATTGTATAAGATTTAAATGATATAAATTATAATAATTTGAACCACAGTGTGTAACTAAACTGAGCATCAATTGAAGCGTAAAGTGCAAATTTTTGCATTAAGTTTAACTTTTT